CGCCACCGCGCTTCCCAAGCGGCGCACTGTAGCAGTGCGCCACCGGGCCGGCCCCTGAACAGGTACTTCTAAAGAGACATTGGCTGCTGGGATCACAGGCCTGCATGGTAGGAGGTATCACTCAGCGGCAGGTCTGGAACCTGTAGCAAGCACCATGTGCCCTAGAGAGGAAGGTGTCTGTCTAGACGCAGGCAAAAAGACCTCCACATCCTGGCTGGGGCTGGGAGTCTCTGCCACTCCTCAGAGAGCTGGCAGCCTCATCACTGTCAGAAGGAGGCAGGGAGCCTCCAGGCCCACCAGATCTTGGCTTTTGTTGTTTTGGGGGTGGCTGGTCAGTACAGGGATCGAACCCTTGATCTTGATGTTGTAACACCATGCTCTAACCAGCTGAGCTAACTGGCCAGCCCCTACCAGAACTTGGGATAAATAAAGGCACAACACTCATCAGCGGATCCTAATGAAAAAGGAAGCAGAGGTTGATGACATGGAGTCACAGCGCTGAGAATATTTGAGTAGGACGACACAAGCCTCAGATTGCTGGGCTTATGTACCTGGCAGAAAGATAAGGAGATGAGACCTAGTGCACAGGAGGGATTGGCATGGCTTTGTGGGGAAGAGACGAAGGGAGAAAGCTAAGATGCAGGGAACCAGCTGGAGGAGGGTGGGGAGGGTCGCATTCACCTATGGGGCTCTGGTGTCCGCCCCCTCAGACTTCCTCCAAATTCTTCATTCCCCAGACTTCCAGGGTCAAGCCGAAGACTGTACAATTCAAAGCACTCTACTAGCACTTGGATTATTTTCTCTTTTCCTGAGTCTTGACTTCTCCTTTGTTCCCAGAGGGTGGCCCCTGGGGCCTGAGGAAGTAGGAACATTTCTGGATGTGCACGACTTGGGGAAGCCTGCACATGTGCTGGGGGTTTAGCATGAGATCCAAAGATTCAGGAGCCAGGTCTTTGTTTGAAAATACTCTCAAAAATCAAACCCCTCTCCCCACCTGACAGATGGGAAACTGAGACCTCGAGGGGGGAGGAATAAAGAAAGAACTTGCTCAGAGTCACGCAGTGAGGGGGGCAGACAGGATCATGGGACTTGAGCCCAGTATTGAATTCAGGACTTGTCTTATACCTCCCAGAGGCAGTGTCATGGAGGCAGTGTCCAGGGGCCCGTGTCCTGGTAGCACCTTCCTCAGGGCTCCCACTTTCACCTCCCCTACTCTCTGTGTTCTCCCAAGGGTCCAGAGGGAGGGTTTGTCTGCTTCAGTGGCAGGCTGACTTCATCTTGGTTTCTGGAGAACTGAGAAGGGTTTGAGGTAATGTGCCCCCCCAAATGTGTTTGTTCTCTGCCTGCTGGGGTGTAGGGCATGGGATCCACAGCTGCGGGATCTGAAACTCCACGGCTGGGTGGCTTGATGGATGGATTAATGGATGGATGTGTGGGAAGTGAGTGGGTGGGCAGGTGGGTGGATGGATGCATGAATGGATGGGTAATTTTCCCCAAGCACCAGAGCCAAAATCCCAGCCATGGCAGCTGTTCTTGAAAACTAACCCCATCACTCCCACTCCTTGTGACTCAGAGACCTGGGATACCTGAGGTTTTAAACACCTGCTTCTGGGAGCAGAGGAGAGGAGGAGGCTGTCATGCTCAGTCCCGTGAAGAGGGGTGCACAGCCCCCCACCACTGCTCCCCTTCCAAGACCTGCCCGGGCCTGGTTTTGTTGCTGGCTGAGGTCTATCTGGCATAACAATGACCTCTTCCTAGGCAAAGATGCTCAGTCTGGCTTCCTAGCTGCCATCCAACCACAACAGCACAGACTTGTCACTCCTGGCTGGACAGACCCTTAGAGTCTGTCCACAGTCTGGAGGCCAGCCAGCTTCCCCAGGAGACTTCTAAAGCACAAGGAGCTCACTCCTCACAGAGCAGCCCTTTGGGATGCTTCAAAAGCCACAAGACTTTCCTCCCTCAGAGCTGAGATTCCTTCCCTGTGATTGCCCTGGTCTCAGCATTGCCTGCAAGCCCTGGAGCCCTTGTGGATGCCAGCAGTGGTTCTGGGGTTCCTCCATGCTGATCTCCCGAGCTTCTCTGACTGCTCCTTCTTCCACTCTGTGGGCCTCTCTTCCATCTCTGACCTCTGGCTCCCTGATCCTCTGTCAGTGTCCTTGAGAGATGTGACCCCAGGATTGCCCAGCTGGGGCTGGACCTTGGTCAGACTGACCAAGAGAGGATGGCTGGCCTGGAGGTCAGATTGTGTATGGATAGAATGGACAGATGGGCCCTCACCCCTGGCCACTGAGCCTTTCCTCATATATTTATTCATTCTCTAAACAAGTATTTATTGAGTGACTATCTTGTGTCAGGCAGCATGCTGGACACCAGGGAGAGTGGAAACCACTGACATGATCCCTGTCTGGGAAGATGGACAAACTAGGAAGTTTGATGAATGCTGTGAGGGGGAAGGGTGGGGGCTGGGAGCTTGGGAGGGAGGAAGGCTACCTACTCCACTGGGGTCAGGGAAGGCTTCCCGGAAGAAGAGGCATTCAGACCCAGATGAGAAGCCAGAGGGTGAGGTGCAGAGGAGAGAGAAGAGTATGCCGGTCAGAGGGAATGGCACGGGTGAATAGGTACTTTCCCCCGAGACAGTAGAGCTGGGCCTCTGCCCCTCCCCAGCCCTGAGAGCTGGTTCCCAACAACTCCCTTTGTCTCAGTGACACTGAATCCGCGAGACACATGGATGCCTGAACACCTGCCTCAAAGGGCAAAGACTGGGAAGCATGAGAAGCTGGCTCATTCAGGGAACTGATACAAGTTTAGTGTTGCTGGACTGTGGAACCTGATGGGGCTGTGAGGAGACGAGGGGTGGGGGGACCTAACTATGGGGGCTGATTCCGAGAGCATCAGGGTGTTAGGTGGAGGTTGCCAAGGACAATGCTTAGGTCGCAGGGTGGGAAATATAGATCCTGCCATTCCACCTCCCTCCCTTCCTATTCCTGTCCTCCTGGATAGACAGCAAACAGACAGCAGACAGACAGATCAGGTGGCTTTATTGGAAGCATGGCAGTCTGGGCGTGGAGGAGCTGTGCTACCTCTGCACACACCCTCTCACTCACACACGCACTCACACTCACATTGACACTCCAGGCTCTGCCCTGGTTGGGTCAGGTCTGGTGCAGAGGAGCTGGAGGCCTGGTGCTGCCTTCTGTCCTTGGTTCTCCAGGCTAGGGTGAGGCACATCCCTTCACTCAGATGCAGGGCTCCCTCTGGCACTGTCATAAGTTAACTGCTTTGGCGTTTGCTCTGGGAGAGGAAGGAGAGGCAGGGTCATGGGCTGGAATCTTAGATGGGGGCTTGGAGGGAGGAGGCAGGGCCGGGGAGGGCCAGGCTTGCCTTGGCAGAGGTCTTCTGCAGTCTCCGGATGATACGGTCCACCCAGGGCTGGTCTGGGGGTGCACAGAGCTGGCGGCCCCTCAGTGTGGTGAACCTAGAGTCAGAGGTCAGGGAGAAGGGAGCCCTGAAACTCGGCTTCCTTGACGGCCCTAGTATAAGGGGCAAAGCCTGAGACCATATCTGGGAACTTGTTTTAGGGATTTCCTTCAAGGGGTTGGGCATGGCAAGAAGAGGGATAAGCAGGTGGGAGTATCACCAGGGGCTGATGGGGGAGATGAGGCCAGACATCCTCCCCTCGACTCACACAACAGCAGGCACCCTGCAGCCATCCTTGATGAGGAGGTAGCGAAAGTCTCTCACAATGTTCCTGGGGATGGGGCGCTGTGTCACAGACAGGCAGCAGTCTTCAATGTCATTAGCACTACCCAGAGCTGGGGAAATAAGAGATAGGGGAAAGAAGGTGACAAGACATAGAGACCCCAAGGAGGGGAGGCCATGGCCCTAACTGGGATTAAGGACACCCCTGTATGTGGTGGGGGTGGGGGGCAGCTAGACCTGATAGTCAGTATGCACCAATATGGCCCTACTGGCTGCTAAATATACTGTAATACTTCCTTTTTTAAAACTTATTTGACAATGTAATAACTATATATTTATGGAGTACTATGTAATATTTTGATACAAGTGTACAATGTATAATGCTCAAATCAGGTCAATCAACATATCTATCACCTCAAATATTTATCATTTCTTTGTGTTGGGAACATTCAAAACTCTCTCTTCCCGGGCCGGCCCGGTGGTGCACTGCTACAGTGCGCCGCTTGGGAGCGTGGCGGCGCTCCCGCCGAGGGTTCGGATCCCACATACAGACCGGCCGCTCACTGGCTGAGCGAGAGGTGCGGGCGCAACGCCGAGGGTTGCGATCCGTTGCCGGTCACAAAAAAAGACAAAAAGGAAAAAAAAAAAAACAAAAAAACAAAACTCTCTCTTCCAGCTAATTAAAAGTATACAATAAATTGTTGTTAGTTATAATCACCCTATGGTGCTATAGAACCCTAGAGCTCAAAAAACAAAAAAACAAAACTCTCTCTTCCAGCTAATTGAAAGTATACAATAAATTGTTGTTAGTTATAATCACCCTATGGTGCTATAGAACCCTAGAGCTTGTTCCTCCTGTCTAGCTGTCATTTTGTGTCTGTTAACCAACTACTCCCCCTCACCCCTGCCCTTTCCAGCCCCTGGTAGCCGCCATTCCACTTTCTACTTCGTCTTGTAATGCTTCTACACGGTTTGGTAGATGCCCACCGCCCTGAGTTCCACAGGTGCCTTCCTGCTGACCTGCTCACCTCAGCCTCTCTCCCAGGACTTCACAACTTCCCCCCCACCCAGCAAATAAAGTCAACTCTGCTCACAGTGCTGAGGGTTGGGGGAAAAGCTGTTGTTAGGTGCCTTATGAATTGTTAAATATTTTGACTATCAGCCCTGCCTCAGTATCTCCCATTCTCCCTACCTTAAACAAATATACACTGTTTTTCCTTCTGCTGGGAAACTGAAGTAGCAGGAAATAGAACCTGTAGAGAAGGGGCAGCCATAGGTCCTTGGATACATGAAGAAACAGACCCACACTGGAAGTCAGGGGTGCAGGGACCCCCACACTCACAAGGCACACACTCAGGGCACAGGGAACCCCCAGGTACACTGAGACATGCAGACCTAAGTATCCACCTCGACTTGCAGTGTGTCCACCTCAACTTGCAGTGCCCCTCACATCCAGCATCAAGCACTCGGAGATCTGGACATCACCCACCTACCACCCTCTCCCCTCCCCTCAGCCTTACCAGGGGAGGTCCAGAGCAGCAGCAGGCCGAGAGCCAGCAGCGGGGCCACGCGGGGTGCCATGGGGCAGCGAGCGGAGCGTGGGCGTGAGCGTGCAGGGCTGTGTGTGAGCCGAGGGCTGGGCGAGCGGGGCAGCAATGGGAAGTCACAGGCGTCCTCGGAGGATGGGAGCGGGTCTAGCAGTGAGCCTGTGTGAGGCTGTGGCCGCCTCCTATTTATGTCCCCATGTTTTCACTTTCTCTCTCCAGAAATTCCCCTCCGTGTCCCACTCCATGGATTCCCCTTTTCCCCCCTCCTTCTGGCAGACACTGGCCATGCCCTCCCTCTTCCCTGTCAGCGGCTTTCCCCCCTTCTGCTTTTCTTGGCTTCAGCTGTGAGAACCTAATCAGTCTGCAGTCTGGCCAAGAAGAGGGGACTGGGTGCTGTCATCTCCAGAGAGAGAGAGTTGGCAATGTCTTACTGGTGGCATCAGCATCATGGCTGGGGGGCTGGCACTCAGAAGTGATGGTCAGGGGTGGGGAGCCAAAGTGAGGAGTTTTACCCCCTTCCCTAGGTCTGTCCCTCATCCTCATTAGCACTTCTTTCTGGTCAGGCCAGTGAGGAACACTCCCTGGTGCCCTCAGAATACCATGAGAGCCTGGGGTGGCCTCCCCAGGTCATCATGGTCCTGACCATCCACCATCTGGGAACCAGTCCCTCCCTTGAGACAAGCAGAGATGAAATGGAAAGTTCCTTGGGAGCAGGGCCAGGATCCCTTCCAACATCTCAGGCCTCTGGGATTTGACCTACTGGCACAGGAAACGCTGCCCCTTCCCCTATCTGCCACTTTCCTGTGGCCAACATGTACACCCCATGGGGTGGATGTTTCCCTCATAAGTTTCTAACTTATCTTTTTTTATCCAGCCGTTAATAGTAACATAATAATTATAATAGTATTTCTGATTCTTTACTCTGTGCTAGGTTCTGTGTCAAGGACTTCATCACTGTTGGGAAAATGGATCAATTTGGTCAGACTCCCCTCGCCTCGGGGCCAGATAGGGGGGGTTCCGTAAACACTGAGTGGGTGGGTGGAGAGCTAGTGCTGCACGCCAATGTATCTTTTTAGTTTTGTTGCTATTCTTGTGTTTTTGAGAGAGGGAGGGAGGGAGGGAGGGGGAGAGAGAGAGACAAAGAGAGAGAGAGAGGGAGAGAGAGAGAGGGAGAGAGAGTTTGGTGAGGTAGGCAGGCAGGCGTCGGCCTTGGGTGTCTGCCCAGTGCAGCCATGTTTCCAGCCTATGGCTCCAAGGACCTTTTGGCCGGTTACCTAGCTCATAGACCTGCATGTGAGGGGTCTGGTGACCCAGCCTGGCGTGTGAAGGGTTTATGACCCAGTCTGTGAATGGGCTTGAGGGGTCTGGGAGCTCCAGACCCAGACCTAGCTCAACCATCGGCCCAGTCGGTGAAGGATTACGAGCAGGTAAAAGAGCCCAACAACTGGCGTGGTTGCCTGGCTTTACAATTGGCATCACGAATAGGATTAAGAGCTAGACAATTGGTGCTATGAGCACAAGGATTCGTGACATTAGCCTCGCAGTAGCCCTTGTCGTAGACAGACAAATTGGTATAGTTCGCAGGATTACGCCACATTTGGTGTAGCCTGCGACAGGACTCTGAGCAGGTACAGGAGCTGAAAGCCCTTGGAAGAAGGAGGAAATGTGGCTATTTGTGAGTGTGCTGTGCCCTATCTGTGCCCTACCTTCCTGTTGATCGGGACCTGGTTGCTGCACACTGTACTGCAAGGCAGCATAGACCAGGTACTATGGCAGAAAACCCCTTGGGAGGGGGAGGAAATGTGGCTGTCTTTGAGCGTGTGGTGCCCGGTGGCCACTTTTCTGCTGACTGGAGCCTGGCTTTTGCTCACTCTGCTGCAAACTGATCAAGAGTTGAAGCGGAAAGCAGAGTTGTTGGCGGATGATGTGCAGCTACTGGCAGATTCGAGGCAGAAAGCAGAGTCATTGGAAGCACAGATAAATGTCCAGGAGGATGACGTGCAGCGAGTGGCCACTCCTTCCCCTCACACCAGGGAAGATGACCAACCCAGTGGTGAGTTGGGGGAAACTGTGCATCTCCAGGCATGACCTGTTGTGCAGGAGAAATGGAGGCACGAGCAGCCTATGGGACTGGGCGGACAACCGGTGGGTGATCCATAGGCAACCCAGTTCACCACCTATGTCCCATATACACAGGTTGAACTGGTTGACTTGGGGAGACAGTTCAGGCAGAAACATGGGGAGCCCCTGGCTGCTCGGCTGTTGTGGTTATGGGACCTACGGGTGGATAGTGTGATGTGCTCTGGTGAGGAGATGGAGAAATTGGCCTCCATCACTATGCACCTGTCCCTGAGGCAGCAGCTGAAAAATAGCTGCAGATATGTACCCGGACGAGGTAATCACTCCTTGATGGACTGGGTGAATGCAGCTGCCCAAATCATGTGGGCAAATGCTGGAGAGCTGCTCAGATTATTAGTTAATGGCAAATGTATGCTGAGCTGGTCCAAATCATTTGAGAGCTGGGGACGTGGCAGTCCATGTTTAATGTGAACACTTGAGGCCCGGACGATGAGAACTTTACAGGCAGCATGAGAGACATAGTGCTGCAAAATGCCCTGTCAATGTCCTTTGGGTCACTGATGGCCATACTGGCCCCTTACATTGGTCGTCCTATACATGAGGTAATGACCGTAATAGCTGGCTTGGGTGAAGTAGAGGATAGAAGACAAGCAAAAGAGGTCAAAAAGGTTGCTAAGGGCCGGCCTGGTGGTGCACTGCTACAGTGCGCCACTTGAGAAGTGCGGCGGCGCTCCTGCCGAGGGTTCGGATCCCACATACAGACCGGTTCCCGCTCACTGGCTGAGCGAGGGGCGGGTGCAGCGCCGAGGGTTGCGATCCTGTTGCCGGTCCCGGTCCGGTACGGGCGCGGCACTGAGGGTTGCAGTCCGTTGCCGGACATGAAAAAAAAAAAAAAGACAAAAAAAAAAAAAAACAACCCCCCCCCCCAAAATAAATAAATAAATAAATAAATAAATAAATAAATAAATA